TAACGATGATGTTGTGGATGAGGAGGTCTACAATGACGATGATCGCGCTGACCCTGACGTTGATGATGTGATGGATGACGTGGTGTTGATGCAGGAAGAGCAGCAACTTGTGTTTGAGCTCCATGGTCGATTTGGTAATCAGTGGGCGCGGATCGCGTCCCAGATGCCGGGCCGTACGGACAACGAGATCAAGAACTTTTGGAACACGAAGCACAGGAAGCTGAAGCAAAACAAGGTGAACGGGGAGAAAGGAAGCAGTGATGGGGCTGCAAATGCTGGTGCTGTGGGAGGAGGGCCTGGCGCTGGTACAACTTCGACGGGAACGAACACTGCTGAAAGCAGCGGGGCTGGTGGCGGAAGTGGCGGGGCGAGAGGGGGGGAGAAAGGGGGGGAAAGAGGGGGGGAGAGAGGAGGAGAAAGAGGGCATCACCCCGGCAAAATGTCGAACGGTACAGGAAGCTCATCTGGGAGATCAACACATGGGCCTCGCTCGAAGAGCAGTGGAGGCGGAGGCAGCAGTCATGCAGCAGCGTCGGCAGCTGTAACGAGTCTTGAGAATGGCGGTGGCGGTGGTGGAAGTGGACACCATCATTCTCACATGAGAGGCTCGAGAAGCCATCAACATCACCATGGCAGTCATGGTTGGAGTTCTCTGGGCTCCGCATCTTCAGAAGGAGGGGGAGGGGGAGGAGGAGGAGGAGGAGGAGGAGGAGGCGGAGGAGGAGGTGGAGGTGGAGGGTGTGGTTTCCCTAAGGTTCCCTCCACCAACTCTGCCACGGCATATCTAATCACTCACAGCGGCGTGAAAGGCAGCAACAGCAGTAGCAACCTTCACGCTCACGGAAAGCAACAACAGCAACAGCTGCATCCGCATCAGAATGCTGGTGCGGGATTCTCTAGTCTAGATATTACAGTTGGCACTTGCCAGCATTCTGGAGGAGCTGGCTGTGTTCTAGGGAGCCCGAGTCCATCCACAGTTCTTGACCCATTCGATGGGCTGCATGAAGAGAGCACTCGTCATCTCGTGGACGACAACGATGCCACGGGGGCGGCCGAGTTTGAGACGGCCACATCGTCACGAGCGGGGATAGCCCGGGTCAGCCGAGGGGTGGAAACGTGCACGGATCTGGCGCAGTCGTTCTCGGCATGGGAGGAAGACAATTTCCCGGATCATGGCCAGGGAAAAATGCATCAGGGACCTACGATGGTGTCCGCCGCCACTCAGGCGGAGAGCCACAGCAGCAGCGGGGACAAGGAACAGGTGGAGAGTATGGTGGAGGTGGTAGGAAAACCGGCGTGCAAAGGAATTGCAGCGGCAGCGGTGGCCGCTATGGGGACGCACAGCGGTGCGTCGTCGTCGGGAAAGAGCGGATTGACGTCGCACACAGCGGGTGTGACAACGGGAAGCGGGGGGGGGCGAAGTGGCGGAGGCTCGCGGAAGAGGGAGGCGAGCAGCCAGGGAGGTGTTGGCGGGATTGCGAACTGTGTGGCGAGGGGGCACTTGAGCGGAACGAAGGCGGTAGGAAGTCCGAGCAAGGTGAGGAAACGACTGTCGTCGTCGTCGTCGGCAGCTACTGCTGCTGCCGGCGCCGCCGCCGCTGCGTCTGCCTCGGCCTCTGCCACGCCAGCACCTCCCTCCGCTGCGCTGGTCACTGCAACCACGGGCATGACTATCATGCCCTCGACAAACTCTCCGAGAAGAATCGTCATCAGGCGTAATGATAGGCAACTGGCGGCTACCTCTACTCAGCAATCGCAGCAGCAACAGCCACAGCAACAGCCACAACAGCAGCAGCAGCAGCAGCAGGCAACTAGCGCTTGCCACCTGTCGACGACACCGGTCAGCCCGCTGTCAGGGGTTCAACCTCCGGCGTTACCGGCAGATGTATTCGGCTTGTGGACGGCTGCAGGGACGCTTGGAGGAGCTGGTATGGTCGTTGGGGGCGGATTGGAAGACTTCTGTGCGCAATCTTGTGATTGGGCGACAGCAGGAGTAGGGCCAGCGGCGCACGCGTTTGACGAACCAACCCTGAGCGTCGGTACCGAGCCTGGCAAGCTCGTTTGGGCGGATCCTGGCCCAATGTCCGGTCACAAAGATGGCTGTCTGTACCCGGGACCAGAGGGTGACGGGTGGATTTCCTTGACAGAGGCAGGAATAACCAGCACAAACTCCTACTCCCAACTAGACTCCTCCGCTCCTACCCCTACGATGCTCGCCTTGGAAAACAGATCACCAGGTATGACCACGTCTGCAGAGCTAGATGAGCAGCTAATTAAGGTCCCATCCCATTCCTCCACGTGTTTGGCGGCTGACCTAGGTCAGCAGTTGGACATACCTCCACTCGTCGTCGAGTGGTCGGATATGAACGGCTGTGAACAGAGGATTCCACACGATTACGAGTTAATCGAAGGGGTCCTACTGGAGGAATTTGATATACACTTGAACGGTCCAGAGGCCTTGACCTTCCTTGAGGTTCCGTTGTAGTTAGGTTTCGAACTA